TAAGAATAAGAAGAAACATAAGGCGAAGGAGGAGGAAGGAGGATGAGGGTGAGGGAAGCAGGGTGTGGAGGGGAGGGGGCCGAGACCCCCAAGGGTGAGGAAGGGCGAGCGAGGAGGGGGAGCTAGGAAGTGACAAAGGACGGAGGGAGGCGAACGGACCTGTCATATTCTGCTTCTGATCATACCCCGACCCCGTCATTGTACTCCTCCTCCTCATCCTCCTCCTCCTCCTGGACCTCCTCCTTGCTCCGTCCCTCCCAGCTATCACTCCTGGATTCCCCTCCACCCTCCTATCCCTTCCCAACTCTGGCCCTCCTTGAGGAATTGCTTCGTTACCTGTCCTTCCTGTCCGTCGCCATCCTCGCGTGCACCAAACTCATCCCGCACCCAGCCCCTGTACACCGCATCCTGGCTCCCCCTTCGCACACCACGCCCGAGCTCCCCACCTCGAAGGACACGGTGTGGTAGCTTCCCCTCTGCCTTGGTGTCTCGTGGACTTGTCCGGAAACGCTCGCATGTTCAAAGGAGCAACGCTCGTGCGGCAACTCGGAGGCAAGGGCTCCCGAGCGCAGCCGGGGCCCCCCTGGGATACGGTGGGCGACGGAGGGCGGCGAGGGAAGAGGACCAGCAGCAGCAGAGCTGCAGCAGCAGCAGGAGGAGGGGGGAGGGGACGACGGGGCCCAAGAGAAACAGGTCCCATCGCGTTCTCCCCATCCGAGCTTCCTGCCCCTCGTCCTTCACCTGCTCTTCGCACTGCTCCTCCCCTTTCTCCGCCTCCCGCCTGCTCCTTCTTGCCCTCATGACCCTCCACGGCCACTGCCTCCCCCATCCTCACTGTCTGCCTCCCTTGCCTCTTCTCCTCCTCGGCCACCGCCTCCGACCTCTTCCTCGTTCTCCTTCATCATCCGTGTCCTCATCCTCATCATCATCGTCATCCCTCTCCCGCCTTGTTCCCTGCTGCTGCTCGTTACCTGCCTTCTCCCCCCTGAAACTGCCCTTCTCCTCTCTCCTCGTCCACCACCTACTGTTTCTGCTTCTCACTTCTGCGACTACTGCGACTGCTGGGCTGGAACTGTTTCAGGTCTAACTTCAACTGGTACTACTGCTGCTGTCAGCCACGACTTCGACTTCGACGACGACCACTCCGACGACGAGGACAACGACGACTACGACCCGATGTGCCCCGATGTCCAGCGGGCGCTGCGCCGCATCCTCCCGCGGCCGGTGCCTGACCTCCATGGCACCGTCGCGACCGCGCGTCTGCATCGCAGCAGCCAGCCCGCGCTGTCAGAAGATGGGCGGGGTCATTCCTTCCCCTCCTCCCGCCGCCGGCCCTCTCCGCGTATGTTTTTTTTCACACACGAGACTTGAGACATTGTGTGTGTCCTTCTGTCAGGGGGACGTAAGACCTGGGTACAGTGGACTCGGAAATCCCCGACGAGGTCGTCAAGAAAATGACGAGGCCGAGCCTGCATTTTGACGAGGCCTCCCGCTGCAGACATCCCACGAAACTCCTCCTCGTCAAAATCCAAGGCGCGGTCGTCAAAAAACGATGGCGAACCCGAGTCCTGGCAAACCCGGGTCTTACGCTCCCCCGATCCTTCTGGGCTTTTACAATCCGACTGTTTCCCGTGTTTCCGCAGGGTGCTCCCCCTGCAGCGTGGGCCCCACGTTCGGATCGGCTCGCTGCTCCCGCCGTTCGGATGGCGCCCTCGCCCCCGCGCGGGCCGCTTCCCTGGATCCGAGTCGCTTTTCATCGCTGGCGCCCCCTCGTTTCCCCGGCTCTGGCTCTCCCTGGGCCTCCGGCTCCTCCTGCTCCTTCCACTGGAGCTCCTGCCTCTGGTGTTCCTCGAGGACTGCCCAAAGGCCGTGACCGCCCAACCCGTCACACTCGGGATGATTGGAAGCTCATTGCGCGGGGCGAGCATCCAACGCGTCCTGGGAATTACAACCGAGATGGGGCCTTGGGCGATTCGCTACGCTGTTTCCTCGTAGCAGTCTCCCCGTGGCACCCCCAGGGGCGCGAGGTGTCACAGCGCCCGAGATGGCCCAAGATGGATCCAAGAGGGCCTCCGATGCTCCAAGAGGGCCTCCAAGATGGGTCAAAAGAGCCGGTGATGGTTCAAGCTAGCGTCCGACATACGGTGGCGGTCAGTCCACAAGAAACCTTACACAAAAAAACCACCCCTGAGACCCCAGGACGTCCATTGATTTTTTCCCAACCATCCTGTGGTGTTGGGTCCTCGTTTTGAAGAGACGGTGCCCCGCGTTTCTCCTCCTCCTCCCCCTCCTCCCCCTCCTTGCCTCTGCTCTCGGCACACCTCTCACGCGTTTCGTAGCCCCATAGGGAGCTCCACCGAAGGCCCCAGTGGGGGTGTCCACATGCGGTTCCCCCACCCACGGCAGCGTTTCGTGGCCCCATAGGGAGCTCCACCGAAGGCCCCAGTGGGGGTGTCCACATGCGGTTCCCCCACCCAGGGCAGCGTTTCGTGGCCCCATAGGGAGCTCCACCGAAGGCCCCAGTGGGGGTGTCCCATGCGGTTCCCCCACCCAGGGCAGCGTTTCGTAGCCCCATAGGGAGCTCCACCGAAGGCCCCAGTGGGGGTGTCCACATGCGGTTCCCCCACCCAGGGCAGCGTTTCGTGGCCCCATAGGGAGCTCCACCGAAGGCCCCAGTGGGGGTGTCCACATGCGGTTCCCCCACCCAGGGCAGCGTTTCGTGGCCCCATAGGGAGCTCCACCGAAGGCCCCAGTGGGGGTGTCCACATGCGGTTCCCCCACCCAGGGCAGCGTTTCGTAGCCCCATAGGGAGCTCCACCGAAGGCCCCAGTGGGGGTGTCCACATGCGGTTCCCCCACCCAGGGCAGCGTTTCGTGGCCCCATAGGGAGCTCCACCGAAGGCCCCAGTGGGGGTGTCCACATGCGGTTCCCCCACCCAGGGCAGCGTTTCGTAGCCCCATAGGGAGCTCCACCGAAGGCCCCAGTGGGGGTGTCCACATGCGGTTCCCCCACCCAGGGCAGCGTTTCGTGGCCCCATAGGGAGCTCCACCGAAGGCCCCAGTGGGGGTGTCCACATGCGGTTCCCCCACCCAGGGCAGCGTTTCGTGGCCCCATAGGGAGCTCCACCGAAGGCCCCAGTGGGGGTGTCCACATGCGGTTCCCCCACCCAGGGCAGCGTTTCGTGGCCCCATAGGGAGCTCCACCGAAGGCCCCAGTGGGGGTGTCCACATGCGGTTCCCCCACCCAGGGCAGCGTTTCGTGGCCCCATAGGGAGCTCCACCGAAGGCCCCAGTGGGGGTGTTCGCATGCGGTTCCCCCACCCAGGGCAGCGTTTCGTAGCCCCATAGGGAGCTCCACCGAAGGCCCCAGTGGGGGTGTTCGCATGCGGTTCCCCCACCCAGGGCAGCGTTTCGTGGCCCCATAGGGAGCTCCACCGAAGGCCCCAGTGGGGGTGTCCACATGCGGTTCCCCCACCCAGGGCAGCGTTTCGTAGCCCCAGAGGGAGCTCCACCGAAGGCCCCAGTGGGGGTGTCCACATGCGGTTCCCCCACCCAGGGCAGCGTTTCGTAGCCCCATAGGGAGCTCCACCGTAGGCCCCAGTGGGGCTGCCCTCATGCGGTTCCCCCACCCAGGGCAGCGTTTCGTAGCCCCAGAGGGAGCTCCACCGTAGGCCCCAGTGGGGGTGCCCGCATGCGGTTCCCCCACCAAGGGCAGCGTTTCGTGGCCCCACAGGGAGCTCCACCGAAGGCCCCAGTGGGGCTGCCTGCATGCGGTTCCCCCACCCAGGGCAGCGTTTCGTAGCCCCATAGGGAGCTCCACCGAAGGCCCCAGTGGGGGTGTTCGCATGCGTCTCCACTACCCAGAGGTAGCGCCGCCGAAAACGATATTCACACTTGCGGTATTCACAGTTGCATATGGTTGGGTCCTTCGCCAGGCTAATGGTGTGAGGACGCCACGCTTTCCATGATTAGCAAAACCATCGAAACCCAAGAAACACAGGGCACCCTGAAGGCAAGCAGAGTGTTTCTTGGCATGGGTCTCCACTATACCTCCAAGAGGCCCGACGAAGGCCGCAAGACAGTTCCAAATGCTCTCGGAGGCCCCTCAGGACCCCTCGAGAAGCTACGACCACTCGAAAACCACCAGAAAATCAATATGGTTTGCCTTCTCGCCGTTTCTCTTCCGATGCGCTTTTGAGGCCTCAAGATGGCCCCAAGATGACCCAAGAGAGCCCAAGAGGGGCCCACTGGGCCCCCAAGACGTCCCCAAGAGCGAGCGGTCTCAGGGCGCCCCAAGAGGGCCCGAAGAGGCGTTTCCGACGGCTCTGGGGGGCGGCCGAAATCGGGACCCCCTCTGTTTGATCGATGGCCTCCAAGAGGCCTTTCAGAACTCACAAGGTACCCCCAAGAGGTCTCCAAAAGGGCCCCAAGAAGGCCCGCAGACCCCCCAAAGAAGCTCCAAGAGGACCTCAAGATCCCCTACAACAGCCCACAAAGGGCTCCAAGAGACGATTTGAGGGCTCTGTTCTTCTCCTCGTTGTCCTTCTCCTCCTCCTCCTCCTCCTCGTCCTTGCCATCATCGTCTTCCTTTTCCTTGTCCTCCTCTTCCTAGTCGTGTGGTTGTCGTCGTCGTCGTCGTCGTCGTCGTCGTCTTCGACTCCTCCTCCTCCTCCTCCTCCTCCGAGGGGTGGCCCGAAGAGGCCCTGCGAAGCCGCCTCCTTGCTCCCAGAGACTTCTCTGGTCACCCTGGTTCCCCGCTCTGCTTCACGACATGTGTCTCTTCCTCTCCTCCGCACCCCCCTCTGGCTCAAGCCTCTGGCCCAAGATGGCCGCGCCGGCTCGCGCGGCCGCGGCCGGGGGCTTGCCCCCGGCCTCCGGGCCTCCCCGCCCGCGGGGGTGGGGACGGAGGTCGGCCCTCCCTTCTCCCCCCGGCCCGCTGGGCCAGGCCCCCGGGCGCCCCTGCCCGCGCCGCCAGCGCGGCCCGTTTTGATCGTAAGCGCACTGGGAACGCCGGGCGCCGTCCGAGAGTCGTAGCTAGCGGGCTACGGTCTAGATTGCGCAAGCAGGAGGGGGGGAGAGGGAGGCAACGAGAGGACAGCGGAGGGAGGAACAGACAGGAGGCGGGCCTCGCTGCCGCTCAGAGGAGAGGACTGGTGGGGATACTTTTTGGTCGACAGGCCCGCGAAGCGGGTCGAAAGCCGTCCGAACACTAGTCGGGCCGCGACTAGGCAGCAGGAGTAGAAAGGCAAGCGAAGCGAGCGAGCGGGCAGCCACTCAGGAAGAGAGCCAGTACCGATACTCCCAAGCCCGGTGGCGTTGGAAATCCCGGTGGCGACCCGCAGGTAAGCGCAGTCAAATGGCGCGGTGGCGCGACCATAAACACGCAGAGGTCGATCGCTCGGTGTGGGTCAGGCAAACAGCACCGTCAGAGACAAACTAGCCCGACAGGCACACCCAGACGACATCCTTGAAGTAGGCGACACACATGCCAAGACAAGACATCGTGTCGGCGCAAGAGTGAAGAGGGGCAACCTCGTCACCGACAAGACTGCAAACGGCAGTAAAACCTGTAACACTCGTCGAAAGCGAAGTCCATGCAGCAGAACGTCGGCCGACGAGCGTACAGAACCACACTTGCCGAACCCGAGGTCCAGGTACCGTAAGGTAGGCAGTGTAGCGAGAGACCCACTGGAACCTTCCGGTCATCAGTAGGGGCCGACACCAGCCAGGAGCAGGCCAGGAGGCACCTGGCCTCAGCGAATGCGACGCAGCACCATGAAGCGAAGCGTGAAGAATTGAAACGGTCGCGCTCGTTACCGAATCAGAAGGTTCTGTTTCTGAAATGGTCACACTTGTTACCATAAAACTGAAACAAACGCTTCTGCTGCTGAAGCGGTCGCGTTAATACTGAATATGGCGTTCGTTACTGCAACCGCTGCTACCGACCGAACGTTGCGGCTGCATTCCGCCTTAGCCGCATGACAGCCTTGCAAAGAGATCTTGGGAGAATTCGTGGCATCGTTGCCAGATACATGGTCCAACGATTGGTGCGCAAAACGGCCGCGACAGTCCATTGCCAGTACGTGCTCCAGACGAAGGCTGACACCGAAGCCATCGCGCACATCCTGAAATACTTAACCGGCTCCGACCCAAACACTGTTGTCCCCAACTTTGACGGCATCGGCGCCTCAGACCACATGAAACTAGCGGCATTCTCACGGAAGCTACGGAACTCACCAACCTTGGAGCAACTCCTTCCACTAACACGAATGCTGCATTCTTCGAAACCCTGCTTTCGTCAGACCAATGGCTAATAGTCCAGGAGGAAATAGAAGAATATGCCCGTGGATACCGGCTTTGTCCGCCTTGGCTCAACACGACGGCGTGTTTGAAACCGAAGGCGCGCTCCTACCATCGTCGCGGCTTTTGAGCTTGCTCGACGAACTGCACGTGGTTACATCCAAGGCGCGGGCGATGTCTGTGTTCCGAGCATAGAGAGGCCTCCCTCGGGGGGTCCGAGCAGATAGGGTCGGGGGCTCTCGCCGCATCGCTGGTGCATCGGCGATGCATCGGCGATGCTGGGCGAAAGGGAGGGACAGCAAAGGGTGGGGGGGGGGAGAATCAGCTCACGTAGCTGGTTTTCCCGGCGCCTCCCAGCGCCGGAGGCGCCCATGTATCGAGAAAGGGGTCCCTCGGCGGGGCGGAAACCAACTGCATGCAGCAGATGTCGTTTTGGACGCCCGAAATGGGTACGGAAAGAATGGGCACAATGCCCAACAACAAATGTTGTCCCAAACCAACAGCGGCCGCTGTTGGGCAGGCGGCCTTCTGTCTTGAATGGACACAGGCCGCGGCGGCGCGGACAGCGAGTCCTGTTCAAAATGAACAAGATCCGCTGTTGGGCATTGTACCCATTCTTTCCGTGCCCAGTTCGTTCGTGCAAATGTCGTAACCCCCCCCTTTCCCTATCCCCCCTTTTCGTCCGGCCCGATGCTCCCCCGACCCCATCGCGGACACGAGCACGGACACGGCTTGCGTCACGCACCTGCGCGGGTGCTGCAGGGCGGGGCCGAGAGGCCCACAAAAGCCAGAGACAGGGCGAAACACGGCAAGGGAAGATGATCGTCCTCCTCTTCCTCCTCCTCCTCCTCCTCCTCCTCCCTCCTCTTCCTCCCTCCTCCTCCTCCTCCCTCCTCTTCCTCCTCCTCCTCCTCCTCTGAGAACTCCGCTCCAGCGAGAAGCTAGAAAGGGACACTGACTAGCGAATTGGCCGGCGGGCAGAGAGGGGGGGGGAGAGCTCGTAAAACAGAAGACGAACACAACGGCAGAAACATAAACTTTTGGCGCTCCGCGCGGATTTCTTGGATCTGCGCTGGACCCCCTCCCTGGCGCGCGGAGCGCGCCAAGGGCGGCGCGGGAAGCGCCGCCGGGGGGCCCAGCGCAGATCCGCGCGGAGCGCCAACATTTTATGGTTATGGCGTTTTTTCTTCTTCGAGGACAAACGATTTCAGAAACAACAGCGACTGTTGGAAGAACTATCGGAAATGACGACGTCCAGTCCACGCGGGTAATTACTCTTGGCCATGTCAGCGGTGCCACGCTCAAACCAGCTGGTCAAGGTACTGCTAACGACCACCTTCGGGGACTATGGAACTAAAGGTCTCCTAGATGGTGTCCGAGTAGATGGTGTCGAAGGATCGCTCCGCATCGCCAACGCATCGCCGATGTATCGGCGATGCATCGGTGACGTCGGCGTGGGGAAACACGGGCTCCACAGCTGAGCCGCATCGCCGATACATCGGCGATGCGGCGCGATCCTCCGACCCCGTCGACTCCGACCCCTCCTAGGAGGCCTACACGTCGTTCATTTCTAATCGTGCTCATTTCTAAGTGTGCTCGATTCTAATTGTTGTTCCTGACCCCCTAGTGGCCAGGAAGAGGCTCAGGATAGAACAATTAGAAATGAAAGGATCCTGGTCCCCTAAAAACCAAAGAACTTTCGAATAATTAGACATGAACAACGTGTAGAGGAACGCGCATTTCGAACTGTTTCTGCAACATTTGTGGCGCTGGCACTCCGAGGGGCGATGCGAGGGCGAACCGAGCCGCCCCCTCGTTGGGCCGCCAGAGCAGGCTCGGCCTCCAGCCCCATCGGCTGAGGAAACCCTTATCCCTGAAAAACGATGCCACGCCCGCCCGCCATCTCGGCGTGAGTATCTTTGGGTTGGGCATCTCCCCCACACAGGCGGATGCTGGGAGGGAAGCAAAAATGCCGCACACCCCGACTATTTTTGTACGGTGTCTACCCCGACACAAAAGCGCAGTGCTAAAATCATCCCCCGGCTATATGTTTTTGCTACTGTTTATGAGTACTCCTCCCGTAGAGAGACACGCCCAACTTGAGAGTACTTCCTGGCTCTCTGAACGGACTCGCTCGGACTCCGGCGCGTCAGGGGCCATCCGGACGGGCGGGCCGGCCCGCACGGGACCTGGCCTGCCCTGCCTTGGAGGAGGGAGCAGCCACGTTTTTTTTTTTTGTTTTTTTTTGGGGGGGACGGCCTCTGGGGGGCTCCAGGGGGCTTCCACGGGGCGCCGGCGAGAAACTATCGGAAGACGGCGAGCGCCTAAGACGGCCGGCGGCGAGAAATCTACTGCTGGACCATGCGGGGAGCAGCGCACCTCAGAAGATGTACCGGGGGTAGCAGGAAGGAGCAGCCACGTGCCGCTCTGCACGCGCAAGACCCCTTCGCTCACCGAGCCCGCCGCCCGTCGACCTCAATATATCGAGCGTTCGCGCACTGTCGCAGCCCGTGTTCCTCCGCTCCTCAAACTGCCCCGTCAGCTCCGCACCGCTCCGCCGCACGGCGCAGCCCGTCATCCGCCCCCTCAGCTCGGGGGCACGCGCGAGGGGGCAACCTCGACAACCCGAGGAGGAGGAGGAGGAGGAGGAGGAGGAGGAGGAGGAGGAGGAGGAGGAGGAGGAAGGGGGAGGAAGAGGAGAGGGTCACCACGTCCAGTCCCGACCACAGCTACTGGGACCGCAAACGCCACGGCAGCCCCCCTCTGGAGCCCCCAAAGCCATCTCCCTCCCCGCCTTCTGCGCTCCTCGTCGCCCAGCCCTGCAAGCATCGGCCCCTCCCTCGCTCACTCTCCCCCTCCGGTTCCCGCTGCCCCTCGCCAGGCCTGGGCTGGATCGAATCGCCACATCGGATAACCGCTCGGAACCGAATCGAAATCGAATCGCCTCGCCTGGCTCCGGCTGGCTGGCCGACGCAAGTGAATCGAGCCGAACAGGATCCAGCAGGAATCGCGGCCCCAGCCGGGGCGAATCGGCCCACACAGGATCGCATCGTTGAGAAAAAGAAAATGCTGCATAAACATAAGTTCTTTGCGCTCCGCGCGGACTTTTTGGATCTGCGCTGGACCCCCTCCCTGGCGCGCGGAGCGCGCCAGGGGCTGCGCCGGAGGTGCCGCCGGGGGAGCCCAGCGCGGATCCAAGAAATCCGCGAGGATCGCCAACAGTTCATGTTTACGGCGACTTTTCCTTCCAATCGTAGGCGGCCCTGCCCCCTTGTGAGGAGGAGGAGGAGAAGGAGGAGGGGGAGGAGGAGGAGGAGGAGGAGGAGGAGGAGGAGGAGGAGGGGAGGGGAGGAGGAGGAGGAGGAGGAGGAGGAAGAGGAGGAAGAGGAGGAGGGAGGAAGGAGGAGGAGGAGAAGGAAGAAAAGGAGGAGGAGAAGGAGGAGGAGGAGGAGAAGAAGGAGGTGGTGGTGGAGGAAGAAAAAAAGAGTAACAAGAAACACACCAATACGCATAACAATCATGGGAGACATAATACGCATAGTCATGATACGAATGATACAACTAATAATACTGAGAATACGAAGACTAATCAACATAATACAAGAAGTAAAATAATAATAAGAGTAATAGGAGGAGGAGGAGGAGGAGGAGGAGGAGGAGGAGGAGGAGGAGGAGGAGGAGGAGGAGGAGGAGGAGGAGGAGGAGGAGGAGGAGGAGGGAGGAGGACCAGGAGGAGGAGAAGGAAAAGGAGGAGGAGGAGGAGGACCAACGCATCTGATTGAGTTCGGATTTTCATGCTTATTGTATCATCCCTAGCGCAGCCTGCGCTTCCCTGATCATCATGTCAAGGGTGATTGGGGGGACAAAACAAGGCCTGCTTGTCATGCCTCCCTTGGGGTGTCGGCAGGACTTAAAGCAGTTCTGGCCAGTTATCTTATTAATTCTGGTGGGGTGCCCAAGGCATTCGCTCTTAAAAACCCATGGGGTGATATTCCATGTAAGCGCCGCAGGACCAACATGCCAGAGCACAAATCTCATTCTCGAGGCGGTCGAGAACGCAAATGTCGCGGCCGCTCCTCTGAACAGAAAGGGCCGACATATCATCACAGTGCCAAGGACAAACCTGGCCATCTTTTCGGACTCGGGCGGCCTCGGATCGCGCTCTGACTCTGCAGAGCTCGCATATGCAGAGGCTATCAGATACGAATACCCACTGGTGGGCGCGGCCTTCTTTCTGGTCGCCCTCAGCGGGGTCGCCAGCGTCGGCCCGGGGGGGCCCGGCAGGGTCGGAGGCCGGAGGCAGGAGAGGGGCGAGGACGGCGGCACCATCCAGGGCTTTCGCTCGGCCTTACACGCGGGCCTCTCGCAGGTCTGCTGCCAGGCTTCGGGGCGATCGAATGCCAGGTCGGCAGGCCTCTGGCGAGAAACCGCAAACAACGCAGCAGGAAACCATGGGTCTGGTGGAAATCTTGGACCTCGGCGCTCGAAGGCCCTCCGGCTTCACTGACAGCAGCCTTCGCCAACCGATTGGCAATGCCATTTCCCGTGGCCAAGTACTTTTCCCTGGACCCTAGGGGGAGGGCTTCTGAGTCTTGGTGAGCTTTTACTCTGCATATCCTTGGGACCCCCCCTATGTTTATCCTTTGCAATCAGCTCCAACCCCGCGTGGATATTCTTCCGATCTAGATCCGCCTGGCCACATGTGGCGTTGGCCCCTAGGTGGTCGGAGCGGGCGCAGGTGAGACGCGGGCGCACGTGGGCAACGGCCATGGCTGAGCGCTCTGCAGCGAGGTGGGCGGCAGCAACTCCCCCGTCTGTCCCGAGAGGTGCGCTTTACATCCCCCCTCTTCGTCGAGCACAGCAGCGGCCCATCCAGCCCGATGCCAGATCGGGGAGCCCCGTTTAAAGCAACTTCCGTCAACGACCCCCCCCCCACACAAAAAAAAAGAAGCCATCGCCGCGTCAATCGAGCCTGTGCGCCATGCCATCTCTCTCGTGTCCGCGCGGGCACGTCGCGTCGATGTCGTAACCTGCGGCCGGGGCGTAGTTTTTGTCAACAAGCACTGGGCGAGATAAGACATCAAGCTGCTCTTCTCGGAGGGGGCGAGCCTGGGGTCGTCCAGGACTTGTTTGGCAGCTGTGACGTCTGACCTGTCCTGGTGCATGCCCATCTCGGCCGCCGCGCATTGTTCGCGGTTCGCCCTCCAGGCATCCTCGAAATGGTACTCGAGCAGCGCCGGCGAGGCCACAGTGAGCTGGAGCGTCAGGCCCTCGAAGGTCTCGATCTCAGAAGGGTTCTTGAGGGTCCAGTCTATCCTCTCGAGGCTCAGTAGCGCGGCACCTATGGGCCCTCTGCGCGTCGTCCATGTCTTGGGGGGGGGGGCTCTTCATGTTGCTTACACCTTTGTCGCGAAACCCTCCGTGCGTTATCCCCAAGAGCTGCGGCTGAGTCGACAGTCTCCAAAGCACTAGCCCATGATATATCACGGGGCTCAGAGCGGCCTTCCAGGTCGGGCCTCCCGAGATGCACAGGCTGAAAGATTTGGTACGCGTTTGGCTCCGTGAGCTAACGGTTCTTAGGTATATGCATTGGCTTTGCCTGACCTCGGTATTTGTGAGCCCCGCAACCTCTGTTCCAGACTGGTGGGCCTGGTCCAAGCATGTTCTGCGCAATATGCGCATGTTTGCGCCCGCCCCCTCATCGCCATCACCGTGCGCTTGCGGGGGCGGGGCTTGGCAGAGCGAGCGCGGAGGGTTGCCCTTCCTCTGCCAGATCGGGCCCCCCCTCCCACCGCGCCATCGATGCCTAGGTCAGCTGCCGAACCTATCCGCTCTTCCGCATGAGGTCCAGCCAAGGGCCCCAGGGCTCAGACGACAGGCTTCCGAACGGTAGTCGATGAGGCGAGGCCCGTCGATTTGTGCGAGGTGATTTCACATGCCACGTCGGTCCCGATCGAATCTTTCATGCTGAAGGCGGCGGAGGAGAGGTTTGCAACTGAGTTCTGGGGGATCTTATCTTGGTCCTGGAGGAGGAGGAGGTCATCTATGAACATGCGGAAGTCCATATTCGGATTGTCCTGGGCCCAGACGCCGAGCGGGACAAGGCTAAACATGTGGGCGATGAAAGTAGCGAAACTGCATCCCGCGGGCATTCCATACAGCGGGCTTCCAACAGACGTGGCTAGACACCGGCTCGCCACAAGCCTCGGGCCTTCATGCTGATTGCGCAATGGCCCGGTTGAAGCCTGTTCAGACAGCTCTCGCGAACCATCTGTCTCGATCGATACGCTCGCCATAGTTGGATGGGCCCCAGAGGATGGCAGCAACATGCCTGGTGGTACTTTCGTGCTGGGCCGATTCGGCTTAGAAAGCCCGGAAATATACGGTCTCCAGGATTCCACTGCCCGACTGATGGGCCAAGTATCCGGCGGCTCTTTTTCTCCAAAGCCTCTGGCAACTGGCTGGCGTATTCGGGCCTAGGTTCTCCAAATCGCTGTCATGAAGCCTATGCCACGATGACTCGGGTTCTCGGTCGCCGCCTGCTGCTTATGCTCTGGGGTCAGGGCGGCGACGGCGGCTCTCGCCCGCGTCGGGAAGACCCCCGCCTCCTCGCAAGCGTTGAGGAAGCGGACGATGAGCTCAAGCTCTGCCCGCGGCAACGAAGCGAGGTGCCGTGGGTGAACACCGTCGTGGGTGGACGCCGTGTCGCGACTGTATGTCCCGGAGGCCTGGGGGGCCTCTTCCGCGGGGATAGGTCTCAGCTGCGCGAGAGCTTCTGGGTCGGGCCGCTTTTGACGCCTGAGCTTTTTCTCGGCGTTCGGTGGTTGTTCAGATGCTGGCTAGGCGGCCAGCTTCGGCGAGCGGCAACTCGGACGGGCGCCCCGCCGACCTAACTTCACCTGGCTTCCATTTTCACTGAAGTCTCAAAGCCGAGAAATCTTGGGACCACTCATGGCCCATCCAGCCCCGCGCATCATACTCGCGCGGACACAGTCCCTCCATTTGGCTGCCTCTGAGGTTTGCTCCCGCTGGATTTCTCGGTCGAGGGCTTCGTCGGCGTCGGCGAAAAACACGTCGAACAGTTCTCAGGCAACTCCGAGAGTAAGGTTGTCGTTGTCGCGGCCTAGCAGCACCGCCCGGGCCGCGGCTCGCGACGCTCCCAGGGGGCCCCCAAGTCGTCGCTCTCGTCGAAAACGCCCGGGCGGGACTGGCGATCCACAAAGGCATTCTGGAAATCGGGCTTCTGGAAATTGCGCTCATCCAGGGTTCGGCGCACGCCGGTCAGCTTCTTCTTTAACCAGCGGATATGCCCGACAAACGATCTCCAGCTACAGCGACGATACCCTTCGGCCCCCCGCGCTGGCAGCCACTTAACTTGAGGCCCTTGGCCCCTGACTCTCTGGATTTTCAGGGGGGCGTCGGTCCGTCGGTTATCTTGCTGATGCGGCTCACCAGGTCCGATGTCAGCGCCTGGCAGGTTCCGTTCGGGGCTCCTTCAAGCTCGCTAAGTTCAGCGCCTGGCCCAGGAAGGCCCCTTATCTGGCCCCGGGCAGCGCTCGCGTTGACCCGCTCGTCCGCCCCCTGGGGCGCCTTGGCAGGTGGCTTCTGGGGCTCGGCCAGCACGGGTATTAAGCATACTAGTATACACAAACATAATAGTATACACGTATGTTGTTGTTCTCTCTCTCTCTCTCTCTCTCTCTCTCTCTTTCTCTCTCTCTCTCTCTAGATATATATATATATACGTACATATATATATATGTATATATAAGCGACCCCACAGCCAGGTCGAAGCAAACGGGCCTGCGGGGGCGAAATGGGCACTGCTCGGGGGCCGCGGGCCCCCGAACGTAATCTTGGAAGCACTTGGAGATCAGGAAACAGTCGAGAATGGAGGTAGTCTTCTTGGCGTCGAGGGCAGGCTCCGCAGGAGCCAGTTTGCAGGTTCCCGAGCGCGCGCAGGAGTCTGATCGGAGTTGCATGGATGGGGGAGAGGTCGGAGTCGCCTGAGACCGCGAGCGGCACGCGATGCTCCTGCCCGAGCTGCGCGGCCCTCCCGAGCAAAGCGAGGTTGATCTCGTTCGAGCCTACCTTATCTTCTAGGTAGAGGGCACACAACAGAAGCTGGGCGTGCCCTGGCACTTCCAGAGCCACTGCAGCGACCCTCCCAGGCGGCGTGCCGGACTCCACATCAATATTGACGACCCCCAGATCCAGCCCCTAACGAACGAGTATGGCGGTTCCCTGAATGACGGCCACACATTCAGATACGACCCCTTCCGAGAAAACTGTATTCCAGCCCCTTCTGGCAAACCATGTGGTAGCTTCCAAACCTGCGGTCCCCTCCAACTTGGTTTCTTGGTAACGTATGATCTGAAGCTGGCGGAGCCCACAATCGGACTTGACGAAAGTCTGAGCGCGTCCCCGGCAACTGCCGCTGATCGAAAGAATTCGGAGGTTGCCCCAAAGGCGGGCTGCCGGCGGCGGCTGCGTCGCCCGCGGGCGGGGCGGCCGCCCCCTAGCCGCGCTGGCGCATGCGGCGGGCTCCCTCTGAGGCGGCGGGCCCCACCGCTCCGCTGATCTGGAGCTGGCTCGGCTTGTCGAGCGCCTGCGCGATGCGCCAGGGGCGCCCACCTCCGAGGGCTGCGCGGCGGCCTCCTCCGCCGACGGCGGTGGCGCCGCTGCGGCGGCGATCTTGTTGTGCTCCGCGTTGAGCTTCGCGGCCACGGCGTCGATCTCCTGCTGGAGCTCTGCGGTGAAGGCCAGGCCGACGAACTTGGCCTTGACGAAGGCTGCGAGGGCGGCGGCTGCAGCCTCGGTCGGGGCGCGCGTGGCCACGGCCGCCGTCGCTGCAACCTTGAGCTGGGCTTCCACTTGGTGGATCTCTGTCCGGATCTCGGAACACTCCTGCGCCACCTCCGTGTACTTGTTGCTGAGCTCTTCCACTTTCTCGCTGTACCACTGCGCGTCATGCTGCTTGCCCACGAGGCGATCCTGCTGGGCCGTGAGCTGGGCATTGAGACTCTGCGTATGCTGATCTGGCGACTTGGACGCCACAGCCGTGGCTTTGGCCGACTTGAGCTCCTCCTGCGCCTGCTTGTGGTGTTGGCCGCCCACGCCCTCGATGCTTCGCCAAAAGACGACCGCCCTGATGCAGACGGCGACGGGGTCCAGGTCGGTGGCTCTGTCGGGCTCGTCCGCGGCGCTGTCATCAAAGCGGACGGCACTGCGCGACCATACGTTGGCTCTGCTCCTCGACGAAGGACGCGTTGGGGCGGGTGCTGGAGCCTGAGCCGAGGTAGCAAAACTGGCACCGCAGTTCCCACAATGGCGGTGCTGAAGATCGGCCCAAGACCATCCCCCGCATGACGGTGACGAGCAGGCCATGTAACCTCTTTTGGCTTGTGACTGGCTCCTGGCCGTGCGTCGGTCTCGCCCCTCCCGATCGCGGCGGCTGGTCCCCGCGGTCGGCGCGGCGCGTGCCATGCTGCCAGCGCGCGCAGCCAGGCACAGGCGAGGAGGCGGAGGCTATGGCGGTGGCCCCTCCGGGCTGCGAGCAAACGATTCGTGGTGCTGGAGGAAAGGGCTGCCCTTCCACCTCGACCTCGGGCCTCTGGAATTGGGACGGGGAGGGGTTCCCGTCTTGAGCCAAGGGCTACGGGGAAGTCGGAGGCAGAGGAGGAGGCGGAGGAGGAGGAGGCGGAGGAGGAGGAGGCGGAGGAGGAGGAGGAGGAGGGAGAGGAGAAGGAAGGGGAGGAGAAGGAGGATGAGGAGGAGGCGGAGGGGAGGAAGAGGAGGAGGAGGGAGGAGGAGGAGGAGGAGGAGGGACGAGGGAGGAGGAGGAGGGAGAGGAGGAGGAGGAGGACGAGGGAGGAGGGAGGAGGGAGAGGGGAGGAGGAAGGAGGGAGGAGGAAGGAGGGAGGAGGAAGGAGGGAGGAGGGAGGAGGGAGGAGGGAGGAAGGAGAAGGGATGAGGAGGAGGAGGAGGGAGGAGGAGGAGGAGGAGGAGGAGGAGGAGGAGGAGGAGGAGGGGGAGGGAGGAGGGGAGGAGGAGGAGGAGGAGGAGGAGGAGGAGGAGGAGGGGGAGGAGGAGGGGGAAGGCTCCCCCCCTTTTTGGGGGGCGCGCCCCGGCGTCGGGGGAGCGGCCGTCCCGCGCGGGAGGCGGGGCCCGGCCGGGGCGCTCACGCGTGCGACCTCACGGCGGCGCTGCGCTCCTCCCAGCCCGCGGGCGCCAGGCCCGCTCGCGCGCCCCCAGACATGCTCGCCACTCGCCGCCTCGCGGAAGGAAGCCGCCCCAAACATGCCCGCGTCGCAAAAAGTCCGGACGGGCGGCGTTTCGCAATTTTTGGCCCCCGGGGGCCCTCGCCGGGCCCGGGTGCCGTCAAAACACGACTCGGGACGAGAAGCCGGTCCCTGGGACAGGGCCTGGACTTCCAGGGACGTGCGCCGTCCTGAAAAAATCAGGACGTCGCATGTCTGGGGCGAAGAGTGGCAGCAGCAACGTGGGCAAGGGGTGGGGAGGATCCGTACTTCGAGGCCCCCAGGTGCCCCAGAGGTGCCCCGAGGCCCCCCGCGAAGGCCCCTGGGGAGCGCAGGAGGCAGGGAAGCTGCCCAAAGCCTGGTTCCTTTCTCCTCGAACTCCCCTCGGGGAGGTGCAAGACTGGAGTCTTGAGGGTTTCAATATGTGGGACCTTGTCTACGACTTGGCACCACGTCCCGCTACAAACGTCGCGCGGCAACTGGACCGTGGGATCGCATGCCGGGACCACCAAGAAGCGGCGGCGAACCCGAGTTTCGGCAAGACTGCCGCGCTGCGCCCAGCCAGCGCCGCGGGCTGCAGCATCTCTTGGCGACGCATCGACCGGACCATCTATTCCTCCTCCTCTTCCTCATCTTCCTCCTCCTCCTGCTCCTCCTCCTCCTCCTCCTCCCTCCCTCCTCTCCCTTCTCCTGCTGGTGCCCCGCTTCCTCCTTCCCGCTCTCTCCTGCTTCCCCCCTTCGTTACTCACCCCCCTTGTCCTGTCCCAGCTCCTCCCCGTCGCACCCCTAAAAGCGTGTCCGATGGCCCGGCCGGGGCGCTCGGCTCGAGACTTCCTGGCGGCCTGCGCTCCCGAGCACGCCTGGAGGGGCGCTGCGCACATGCTTCAAGCATCTAGCCTTGCCACGGCTGCACGGAGGAAGGCCGGGTCCTTCTCCAAAAGGGGGCTCTCGCCTTAACGCCGCACCGCGCTCGCCTTACCGTGTCGCAGCATTTGCACGGACGCAGGCCGAGGGATCTTCGGAAAGGGGGCTCTCGCCTCAGACCGGTGCACAGTTCAACCACGAGCATGCAGCAAGTGCACGGAAGAGAGGCCGGGCAATTCTCAATAAACGGCGCCGGTGCCGAGATGAGGTGCCTCTCGCGTACTCCACCTAAACTGTTTAGTAAGACTGCGGGAAAGTGGCGCGGATGGAGGCCGGTTCCTTCTCAAGCTGGGGCTCCCGCCAGAGCCTCTCGGAGCTCGGTAGCGACCTCGACTGCAAGATTGCGGGGCAGCAGCGCGGGGGCTCCCGCCGGAGGCTTCCGGGACTTTCGGCGGTGGACAAACCTCCCTTTAGTAGACCTCCCCTTAGTGAGAACGGCCTGGGACCGAAACCGACGGCCCTGGACCCGCAAAATGACGGCCGCGACGCCCTCTCGCGAAACGAAAACGGCCACTTCCTTGATCGACGTGTCAGGGTAGGAGGTCTGCCCACCCCCGAGAGTGTGCGCAACACTGCCTCGGCCGCGACCGCGCGCGCCTCCCGAGGAGGGAGAGGGGAGGGGGACGGGGAGGAGGGGGAGGAGGGGGAGGGGAAGGGAGGAGAGGAGGAGGAGGAGGAGGAGGAGGAGGAGGAGGAGGGGAGGAGAGGAGGAGGAGATGAGGATGAGGAGGAGCAGGAGCAGGAGCAGGAGGAGGAGGAGGAACAGGAGGAGGAGGAGGAGGAGGAGGAGGGGCCCCGGGGCCTGGGCCTGCCCTCTTCGAGCTGGGGCTCTCGCCGGAGCCCCTCCTGTGCGAACGCGGGGGGCTCCCGCCGGAGGCTCTCGGAACTGGAGCGCGGGGCCGCCGGCCCGACCGCACGTACATCACCGCTGCGCGGGCGGAGGGCGGCCTGCTGCTCCGAGGGGGGAGCTGTCGCGCGCATATTATTGTTATTAATTTTATTATTATTTTTATCATGATTATTATTAGTAGTATTATCATTATTATTAGTAGTATTATTATTATTAGTATTAATATTATTATTATTATTATTATGTTTATTATTACTATTATTATTATTATTACTATTATTATTAGTATTCGTATTGTTATTATTACTACTATTATTATTAATATTATTATTATTTTTATTCGCATTCTTATTATTATCATTATTATCATTATTATCATTATTATTATTATTACTAGTTGTAATGTTCTTATTATTCTTCTTCTTATCATTATTAATATTCCGGGCTGCGCTGCAGGCCTGCGCCGACAGCTGAACGGGCGAGGGGCGGCGGCTGCTCCAGGCGAGGTCCTCGCTCTGGACACCTCGTGGGGCTTCACTGTCATAGCTGGTCGAATGCCGTGGAGCTCGCCGCTGGGAGGGTCGGAATGTGGGCTGCCATCTGCACGGCAGGCCCGTCGGGTGCAGAGCTGTCAAGGGGGGAGCTTCTTGCAGTGAGAAGGGAGGCCTGCAAGGGCAGGTGATCAGGGAGCTTGGGGCGGAAGGGCTTCATGTGGCATCTATGATGCATCTTGGGTTTTACCCTGGTGCTCCTACTCATCCTCCACCTCCTATGCCCCCTCCCCTCCTCCCTTCCTCCTCCTCCTCATCCTCCTCATCTTCCTCCTACTCCCCTTTGTCCCCTTCCTCCTCCCCTCTCCCTCATCCTCCTGCCCCTGCTCCCCCCGCATCCTCACCATGTTCCTTCCCCTTTTCCCCCCTCTACAATTACTCCATATGAATAATACTCTCCCTCTTCCCCCGATGGCGGCCTGAAAGTAGCCGACCCCCCCCGCGTCCTGCTTTGTTACACACAGGATTCCCGGGAGTTGGGTTTTCGCCTGCATTTTTTGTCAAAATGCTGCTCTCGCCGAGGCGCCGGCCTCATTTTCGGGCCCCGCTCGTTCCGAATCGTGCTCCCGCTGCAGCGCTGGCCTCATTTCCGTGCTTCCGCTCGTTCCGAATCGTGCTCCCGCTGCAGCGCTGGCCTCATTTCCGCGCTTCCGCCCGTTTCGACCCGTGCTCCCGCTGCAGCGCTGGCGTCATTTCCCGTGCCATGCCACAGCACACGCGCACACACGCACACACACACACACACCACCACCACCACCACCACCACCACCACCACCACCACCACCACCACCACCACGACAACCACCACCAGCACCACCAGCACCACCAGCACCACCAGCACCAGCACCAGCACCAGCACCAGCACCAGCACCACCACCACCACAACCACGCACGCACGCACGCACGCACGCACGCGCACCACCACCCACTAGTCCGCGGATAGAGAAAATCAGCACCATGGTAAGGGATGGGAGGGAGGGGTAGGACGTCAGATATGACGCGCGCGCACCTAGCTTGCCCTTTCCCCCTCTGTTCCTTCCTCCTCCATCCCTTCCCATATAAAGAACTCCTCTCTGTCGCACCCCGAGGCGTGTCGGCAGAGCGGGCCGGGTGTGTCGTCGGAGCCTTCCTCATCACTGATGATCTTGAACTTTACAATGTGCAACACGTTCACAGATGGAGGGCGGGTCATTTTCAAACTGTGGCTCTTGTCTCGGTGCCCTGCACATGCATCGTAAAAATTGCAGCGGGCTTAGGGATGGAGGACACGTGGTCTTCAAACTGCGGCTCTCGACTCGGCGCCACGCACATTCGTCTTAAACGACCAAAGTTTCAAAGAGGGAAGGCGGTTCGCGCACCTTCGCCTTCAACATGTGTGACGATTTCAATACTGGCGGGAAGTCCCTTTCCAAAAAGTAGCTCTCGCCTTAGCGCCGCGCACATTCGTCTTCAACAATTTCGACACTTCAAAAAGAATTCGATGGTGTAAGTCCCAGGAGTTGTGCTCTGGCACAAGGTAGGATTGTCAGGCTGTAACAGTTACGCTGGTTCGCGGTGCTGAAATCCCAGGAATGGCGTTCTGACGCGATTTAGGATTGTCAGGACGCAACAGTCACGTTGAGTCCCGGCGTTGAAGTTCCTGGAATGGTGTTTTTTGGCACGATTGGGGATTCTTAGACATATGTCTTCTAATGGGCCACCTCCCGCAATGAAAACTAATGCTTGCAAGGACCTGTGAGAGGGAGCTTGGAGGGAGGGTTTATTTGTTTGCAGCATCTTTGACGCGTCTTGATTTACACTGGTCCACCTCCTCCTCCTCCTCCTCCTCCTCCTCCTCCTCCTCCTCCTCCTCCGCCTCTTCCCCTCCTCCCCATTCATCCTCCTCCTCCTCCCGCTGAAATTTTTACTGGAAGGTGGCGTGCGACCACCCGGCGAGAAACAACAAACCCCGAACGAGAAACGACGGCGGCGGCGACGCTCCCCGCGCCGCTGCAGGGGCCGCCGAGGGCCGCCGAGGGCCGGAGCTCTCGGGACTCCGCCGAGGGCCGCCGAGGGCTGCCGAGGGCCGCCGCAGACGTCCGGGAGCCGCCGAGGCTTGCCGAGCGTCGCCGAAGGCATCCGAGGGCCGCCGAGGGCATCCGAGGGCCGCCGAGGGCCCCCACAGGCAGCCGAGGGCCGCCGAGGGCCACCACAGGCACCTGGGGGGCCGCCGCGAGCGTCCGCCGAAGGCCGCCGAAGGCATCCGGCGGCCGCCGACGCCCATGACCCCCGCGCGTCCTGCGCCGGCGGCGGCAGGGGCTCCTTCGGCCGGACGCCCGCGGAGCTCGCCAGCAGAGACTCGCCCTCGGCCAGGGTGGCGAGGAGGGGAGGGTGAGCCAGAACACACACGACACCACCCCGCCTAGGGTCCCACAGGCCTTCTAGCAGATACCACGGATCCCGGCTTGGGTTCTTGCGTGGTTATATATTAAGGCCCCCGATGGGCCGTTCGGCGGCGAGCGAGGGGGGGAAGTGAGAAGGGGCGGGCCTTCTCACTAGGCTCGGAAGTCCAACGGCCTTCTGAGAAGCTTGCTGAGCCTTCCCAAAAGATGCAGGAAACCTCTCAGAAGGCGCGAGGGCTTCTGAGAAGTTCCGCCGCCTTCAGAGAAGGCTTTTTTGGTCACCTCCCCCCCCCTCGCTCGCCGCCGAGCCGCAGCACAGCAGGGAGGGCCGTAAGTGGGGCGGTGTCGTCTGTCTTTTGGTCGAGATGGGCAGGGGGAGAAGAGCATTAGGTCGGGCATGTCATCCAACAGGCGGATTTGGGACGGAAGAGATTGAAACAAATATTCAAGAGTACTCAAAAATAGTCCCAAAATCGTCCCCATCCTATTTTTGGAGCATTTTTGAATGGTCCTCCTGTAGGGGGGCGTGCCCGACTTAAGATTAAGTCGGGCCTGTCCCCCTACAGGAAGATCTTCGAGGAACAGTTAAACCGTGTCAAAACATACTCGAAAGTGGTTCAAACATAACCAAACAATCGCCCCCAGACCATGCTTTGACTATTTTTGAGTACTCCCCTCTGTAGAGGGACACGCCCGACTTGCACTCACGCGGAGCAGGGGGAGCGGAGCGGAGCGGCGCCCTGGGCCAGGCACCGGAGCGCCCGCGCCCACGCGGGCAGGGCGCAGGAGGCCGTGGCCTCAGGCCGCGCGTGGGCGCAGGCGCAGGAGGGAGGCGAGGCAGAGGAGGGAGGCAGGAGGGAGGCAGGAGGAAGGCAGGAGGGAGGCAGGAAACGACCAGAGGGGAGCAGGAGGGAGCAGGGAGGAGGGAGGGAGGAAGAAGGGAGGAAGAAGGGAGCAGCGGGAGGCAGGAGGGAGGCAGGAGGAGGGAGGCAGGAGGAAAGCAGGAAACGACCAGAGGGGAGCAGGAGGGAGCAGGATTTTTTGATTGGCTCCTCGCTGAAGCATACGGCTTGTCGAGACCGAGCGGCGCTGCGGCTGGCAGAACATTAGTCAGACTAAAGATTTCTGCACGGGCACCAAGGACACAAGGACAGCAAGTTCTCCCACCCGGACACAAGGACACAAGGACCAAGGACACAAGGGGACAAGGGAGCAGGGAGGGGGGAGGGAGGGAGAAGGGAGGACCTCCTCCTCCTCCTCCTCCTCCCCCAGAAAGTGTGGAAAGAATCATGGACGACTGGCGCAGATAGGAAAAGTGGGTGAATTAACACACGAACCTGCGCAAATATAAGGGTCAGAGACTAGACTGCCCAGGGCACATGGAGCGAGTGGGTAAAATAGCCCGAGCGGGGAAAAGGGAGCGGGCGGGACGGGGTGGGGGCTGCTTCTCTCGATGGTCTCTCTGTGGCCCGTTGGGTTACTCTTGGGCCCGCTGCAGATACGCTCAACAAGGGCCGTTCCAGTTGTGGGGGGAAGGGTCCTGGGCCGCTGCCGGGAGCCACCCCTTCCACCGCACTCGAAAATTTGCCAGCTCCGGAGCACACTGGGCCATACAGAAACCGACTGGGTCACAGAGGAATCCATCTGCCCACAGAGAAACCTTACGCCGGACGGGGAAGAAGGAGGGGAGAAGAGGAGGGAGGGATAGATAGGAGGAGGTGGAAAAGGAGGAGTAGGAGGAGAGAGACACGTCTTTATTGCTATAGCAATACATCCGACGACACAAGCACACAGAAGCAAACGGAAGAGAAACAATGATACTCCGATCAGCTAAACAACTCCTCAAACCAAGGCCCGACGTCGACTGCAACACCGCAAAGCTTGGGATGTAAGCCTCCGGCTCTGCGGCTCCACGAGCGCAGCCTACCCTGGGCCCCCTTCTCGGGGACAAGGACGTCACCCGTGGCGGAGACCTCGCGCTTGGCCGCCGCTGGTATCATATTTGCAGCGACGGCATACAACAATGAACGAATGATCGCTGGTGTTCGGGAAACCCGTGGAATGACCCTTCTCCAAAAACTTGGGATCATCGAGCCCACGGATTCCGACCTTAGAACCCCCACGGCAAACACCAAGAACAGGCTTCAAGACAGAACGGGACCCACGGAAGCAACGTTCGCGGTGCAGGAATCTGCCTTGTCAGCTCCAAGAGTGCCCAACGGGTTTTAAGTTACCATTGGCAGGCACCTTCTCGCAAACCGCACTGGGCAGGTTGAGCGAGCAAGCGCGTCCGCCTCGCGAGCGGAACGCTGAGAGTGGAGGGCCGCAGCGCTCTTCTCAAGCAAGTCAGCGGCACGCCAGTTGAGCCCATGGCACTTAAGCACGTCAGACCAATATGTGTCATCTACAGCGCGCCATCTAATAGCTGAGACAAGACCTGTGGGCTGCAGGGTAAAACGCAAGCCGCTGCAACAGCCCGTAGGATGGCGGTTCTATTCGGGGCAAACTGAAATGGCGCGCAACGTTCAAACAACCCGGCAAACCTTGGACATCGGAAGAGGGCAAACTGCCCAGCAGCAGAGATGGCCAGGAACTGTGCCGCCTGAGAAGTCTGGAGATTAGGCGCCCAAACAAGTAGCATGGCATGCAACAGTCTGGTCGGAATCGCATACTATGACACCCCATCCCCCTGGGCAGCTCTGGAACCACGCTTTTTCAGACAGCGCCCGTCGAAATAGAAGTCACCCCAAGTATTTGCATCTACGCCGCAGTCAGGCGCGTCGGGGCAGGCAACGCGAAACGCGCCTTCGGCGACCAGACGGAGGAAGATATTACTTCGATGATCAATGATACCGCGGGAGTTCAAGTGGCCAAGGAAATCCAAACTGCTGATGTCAGGGTGCTTACCATTGACCTTCGCAAGAGTTCTTCGCTCTCCTCCTCGCGCGCGGAACAAGGATGTAGGCGGTGCGCTGACGAGTCGGGCGCGCCTCTACAAAGCTCACAATCAATGTCATCCTGCTTGTAGCCTCGTTCCTCTGCAACGTCTTTGGTCGACGAGCCACCACGGCGCGCCGCTACAGTCGGGGCGTTGACCTAAGGAACCCTAAATAAGGAACGAGGCCCCTATTTTCCATAAGTTAAACTTCGATTTCCGCTCGAAAACATAAGGAAAACCTGAGGCAAGCTGTGAAACACTTGAGGAACGCGGAGCCCCTCCCCAACGAAAAGGGTTCCTTCTTCAGGGCCTCGACTGTATGATGCGTTGGCCCTTCTGCAGGGGAACGGGGCGACTGGCACTGAGCTGCGCGCGAACTCGATCGCGGCGGGGCCGGCGGGCGCGAGGCGGCAGACTGGCGGCGATGGACTTCTTCAAGGGCGCGAAGGGCGGCGGAGAGCACGGGGCGCTGGGCGAGGGCCGGGCTGCGAAAGGCCCTCTGCGCGACGGCCCCGGAAGCACCGACCGGCCCTATGAGAGACCTCATGCGCCAGCCTACCCTCTGCAGGGGCAGCTTCGCGGCCGGCAAGAGCCCGCGCGCGCGGCGCCGGGGCCCGCGGCCGGCGTGCCCAACGAGAAACAACGCCCAACCTTCGCGAGGCCGCTGGAAAACCCGAATGGAAACGAACCAGTGAAAGCAGCCCAGACCTGTTGGGAGCACCGAACAGCGAGGCCCACGGCGGCGTGCCAGCACTGATCCTTCTCGCGGCGGAGGAGAGGGGACGTCAACGAGCGTTGCTCGACGCTTGGCTGGCTTGTGGCTCCAAAAGATCGCCTGGTCACGCAGTGCTCATGGTCGGAGAGCCCTCTTACTTCGCCGCGCCGCGCGAGGTCCGGCAAGGGCCCAGAAACGAAAACCCTCTCAGCGAGGCGGCCCTATAGACTTTCGCGCGGCACTTCAATCTAGACGCTGTCTTCTCGACGCCCGAGAAGCGCCCGTTTGGCTGTTTGACCTCTGGCCAATTCTGAAAAATTCCCCACGGGCGTGGTCTGCGCCGCAGTGGGCCGCGGCGCTGCGCGCGTCGCCGGCCAGGTCGCCCGGCCCAGCGCGGATCTGCGAAGCGCCGGCGAAGAAACGACCGGCGCGGCCTTGTCGACCGAGGCCCGCTCGCGCAGCAAGTCGCTTGCGGATGTCGCGCGCGAGGGCGAACCCCCCTGCCGTGCCTCGACGCACTTCCGACTCGGCCCCAACAGCGATGATGTCGTGGTCGAATTTAAGCATTACATATATATATATATATTCACATCCAGTTGAACTTGGGAGGTCAGCCGGGGCGATCGACGCATCAGTCGTGGCCATCGAACAGCCGGCCACGAGTCCATGAGAGGCCGGCGAAGACCGCGCGCGACACCAGCGGCGGAGATACAACGGGGGCGGAGGGGGAGGAGGAGGAGGAGGAGGAGGAGGAGGAGGAGGAGGAGGGAGGAGGAGGAGGAGGAGGAGGAGTGGTGGAATACAACGGGGCGGGGAGGAGGAGGAGGAGGAGGAGGAGGAGGAGGAGGAGGAGGAGGAGGAGGAGGAGGAGGAGGAGCAGGAGGAGCCAGGAGACAAACGACCACGCCCGAGAGGGCAGCCGCTGCAGCGCGCCTCCGAAGGGGTCCAGGGGCGCACAGAGAAACTCGCGCAAATCCAAGGCTTCCTCCTCCTCCTCCCTCCTCCCTCCTCCTCCTCCTCCTCCTCCCAGATGTTCGGAGCTTTCGCCTCCCCCCCCATTTGCCATATTTGCATATCTTCCTGGGAGTCGACGATTCACTCCGTCTGCGTTCCCAGACCACCGACGTCAGGATTTTTTCAGGGCGCGCGCCCCAGAGGTCCGGACCTATTCGCCGGAACCGGCTTTTCATCCTGCGTTGTTTTTTGACGGCCCCGAGGGCCGGCAAGGGCCCCCCGAGGGCGAAAATAGCGAAAAACCTCCCGTCGCGATTCTCTCACGACGCGAGGGGGTATGCGTTTGCTTCTTTCC